TTAGTAAGAGACCTGACTTGGGAGCCTTGAGGCCAGTTCTCTAAGCTGTAGTTCTCAAAATTTGACAACATAAATATTTTTATTATTAAACATCAAACAAGCATAAGCTTGCCCAAGCAAATATGCCAGTGGCTGACCAATAAAATAAGGCACTTTATTTCTTTAAGACAACTAAATGCCCCATCAGGCAAAACTTTTGAGAGAGCTGTACTCTCTTCATTTCAATTCAGGGACTACACCTCCTCTGGTATCATATTCTTGTCATACAACCAGGAAAAAACAGATCTGTTCTTCAAGAACAGATTGAACAGCTGTGTGTGTGTGTGTGTGTGAGAGAGAGAATACAGGCGGCCAAATGCTTATCTTAATTGCATTTAAAGTACTGTAGGCCCAGATTACTACTTTGATTAAATTTTAGCTATAAATGTATTCCACAGCAAAGATTCCCTGTAGCTACATTGGATTAATTACTTTGACTTCATAAAAGCTTCTCTAGTGTTACCTGGTTATACCTAAAATCAGAATTGAGTCCATTATCACTAAAGATTCACTACTACCTTTACAATTCTTTTCATGTTCCTTGTGAAGGACCCTTTGTATATATTACGATAGGATCATAGGAGAGTAGGACTGGAAGGGACCTCATCAGGCCATCTAGTCCAGCCCCCTGCTCAAGGCAGGTTCATCCCAGCCGGGGATCTGTCCAATGTGCTTTTGAAAATTTCCAAAGGTATAGATTCTACATGTTTTCTAGGTGGCTTGTTCCAATGTACAACAACCCTCATAGTTAACCAGAATTTGCCCTTCTTCAACTTGAAGCTATTGCTCATAGTCCTATCCCATGTGGCCCCAGAGAAAAGCCAATCTCCATCCTTTCTCTCTAGAATTGCCCTTCAGGTATTTGAAGACTTTTATCAAATCCCCCCTTAGTCTTCTAGTCTCCAGACTAAACAGCCCTAGTTTACAGAAGATTCACAGAAGTTTAGGGCTGGAAGGGACCTTGTGAGATCATCGGGTTCAGCCCCCCTGCTCTGGGCAGGAAAGAATGTTGGGGTCAAATAACCTCAGAAAGGTGTGTGTTCAGTCCCCTTTTGAAGATCTCCAGGGTAGGTGTCTGCACCATCCCTGCTGGGAGTCTATTTCAGAGTCTGGTCACACAAACCGTGAAGAAGTTTTTCCTTGTATCCAACGGGGAAACCTTCTTCTAGGAGTTTATGACCATTGCTCCTCGTTTCCCCCTGGGGCACTCTGGTGAATAGTTGTTCACCAAACTCCTGATGCTCTCCCTTGCTATAATTTCAACAGAGCTGTGCTGAGGTGGGGCATGGCCAGGCCCCAGCATGATGCCTTGATTAGGGTGGGGTTCCTCCCCCCCCCCCCCCCCCCCCCCCCCGATAACAGAGCATTGAGTTGCACAGCAAGGACTTACACAGGGAGTTGTTAGCATTTATCACCCCATCAGCAAAACAACAGCCTCTCTCATTGGCTCAAGTTCTTAAACAACTTTTTCCAAGGAAGGGTGGGAGGGACATTAGCAGCTACCTGGTGATTAGCTCCAAAAAGCCCTAAGCCAACACTCCTGTTTGCCTTTGTCCAATCTCCAACAGCACAGCATGTTTTATGCTGAGAGGTGTCTGTGTAAGGCAGGTCCAGTTGTACTGGGCTGGAGCAGAGAGCAGAGCCCTGCCTAGAGTTGCAAAACATCTGGGATGCTGGGAGACTATGATTTAATTTAAACCAGGAAGGGGGTCTGGGATAGACATTGCATAAACTGGTTTGACCCAAATGAGTTAAGTCGGATATTACATTTAACCAGGTTTATCTGAAACAGGTTTCAGCCATTTTCAAACCGGTTAACATGCACTGAATATCTGTTCTGTTACAGGTTTAAACAAGTTTCTGTTCACTTAAGTGTATGTGTAATGACTGTATCTAGAGTTACTCACTTGGGTCCCTGAATTCTGGTTTTATCCAGAGACCATGTCAAATGTTTCCACAAGCATGTAAACCTGCTTAATTTGTTGCAGACCGCTCAGTTCCCTCTTGTCACAAAGCAGTTAGTTGCTGTTTATATGAATTTAAAGAGCAGGCATATAGAGAAAACAAGGGTGGGTCCAGAGGGGTTAGTGATGCAGTCGCACAACCCCCTTGTACTGTGTCATATGAGCTTTCCATGCAGGTTCTGGCTGCAGCTCCTGCTCTCATGCAGCTCCAGAGCCCAGATAGTGAGTGCTGCCACTTCTACTTTTCCCCTCCTTTCCCCTGCTGCTGAATTCAATGAGAGAGAGGAGAGCAAACAGCAGCAGCGTTAACTTCCTGGACTCTGGATCTGTGCATAGCCAGAGACGCTGCCCCAGTCAGCTGGTGAACTCTCTGGTAGGAGCCAGTGCCAACTAGGCAGTGAGCTCAGAGCTCATGGCACATGTGCAGCACAGCACAGTCAAAGTGTATGAGGTGCATCCTCCTTGCCCCATTCCTGGATCCACTACAGAGAGAAGATGCTCAGAGCAAATCATTACAATGAATTTCCTACTGTTTTACCTCATACAGTTCTGGTGGTTTACTAAATAGGGATGAAAGATGGTATCAAGCTAAATTTACATGTGCATGAGATCAAATAAAACCTATACGGGAAATGTTTGAAAAAAAATATATAAGCATTTTGAAATGCAATGTTTCCTTTTAAATGCTGAATTAAAAAGGCAAACTTGATGTTTCTTCCTTAATTAACATACTTGTCTATAATGTTCATCACCAGACCCTTTGCTACCCTACAAGCTTTGTGATACCCCACAAGGTAGGAAAGCATTATTTGTTTTAGAACAGGAATAGAAATCTGTTCTCAGCCCCATCAAATATTTTAACGGGAAAAACACCTTTCCTTCTATGCTTTCTACAAGCTACTTCAAAAATCTTCCTGCAGGCTGCAGGAAGAAACTGCCTGAATTCTGAGAGGGTACTCTTTTCCATGTATAGTAACTGTCAATTATTTATGACTGCTGTGTAATGGCTCTGGGCATGTGTGACCCCCATCACAGGATATGTTCAGCTACCCAGGGCTTTGCCCTTCCAGCAGCCCACATATATAGGCCCAGCCTGCCATCTGGAGTGCTATCCTCCCTTTCCCATGTTCAGCCTCATTCAGAGTTGACAAATAGTCTGTGACACAAAGTGACTCCCAAGAAACGTTTTCCTTCTACAGCTGTAAAACAGGACTACTAGCACTATTCTTGCGGCTGCTGGGAGTAAATATTTATATTTGGAAGGCAAGGATTTAGGTAAAATAGAGATCTCTTTTTGAAGGCTTGCAAAATATACCCTGTCACTTAACCTGGCAGGGGCATTTACTTTTGTTGGGTTAGAAAATATCACCGGATTTTAGGCATAACCATTTCTTTAATAAAAACAAAATAATTTGTTATGTATCTTCTTTCTATCAAGTGCTATACAGATTTGGTAGCTGAGCTGGTTAATTTTCATGAGTCTTTCAAGACAGATATCAGTATGCTAGCAAGTACAGCTGGCTGTAAGCTTATGCTGTATTTATTCTACAGTGCAATCTCTCTGATTGGCAGTATGTTTTAGTACAGCTTCACTGCTCTGTGGATTGTCAAGACAACTGTCCCTAAAGGAGGATTTTGTACTGTGCATTTTCACTTTGCCATTTTTAATGGCTGCCCTAGAAGGGCCTGTTGAAGTACTCAGCACTTGCTTCCTGAGCTGCCTCTGTTCAGTGAAACCATAAGTAAATACAAAGATCCTTGAAGTATATTGCACTTAGGGTTACAATGCTGAAGTTTCACTACATCCCCAAATTACTTTGTGGTTAGGCCTCAGACAAAGAAGGTAGCAGTAAAATCTCTTTCAAAGAACCAGTTTTATGGTCAGGATGAGCGTGAGTTGAAGCTTAATGTTTTTAGTTACTTGTTTTCTGGGGGGAGGGGGAAGAAAAAGAAAGATGAAGAGCACATTGAGAACATAGCGGTTTTCATTTACAAAGTCCTAATTAGCATTTTCTTTGCATACATTACAATATAATCAGCATTAGTTGCTGTCAGTAAATTCACGAACAAATTCTGACAGAAATTACTCTAAAAAATTCCAGGATTTAAAAATAAATAATCAGGGTGATAAATATAGCAATTTCTTCTCAAAGTTATTGCTATGTGAGCAAAAAAATGGAAATATTTTCTGAAAGCCCTGTCATTTCAGGAGGTGGTCTCCTGCCAGCTCAGTAGTCTCTGTGGCATTCCTTCCCCTCCATCCCCCACCTTTCTTTTTCTTTTTTTCTTTTTTTTTGGTCAGGCAAGGTTGTTGTGTGTGGTGCTGTCAAGCTTTACCAAAAAAAAAGTTACAATTCTGATGAACTCCGAAGATAAATGTTAATGATTTTTTTTGTGGGGAGAGGCTGAGGGGGGGAGTGGGAGGGTTGTTGTCTGATTTTGTAAATTTGTTTTAGTTGAATAACATTTACAATTATTTCCTTCAGTGCTTGGGTTCTTATAGCAATATAAGGCCAAATACTGTTCCTTTTACATCACCACTCCTTGCTGTGTTCCAGTTCAGTTGAAGTCACTGAAGTAACAGCTGGGAATAGTTTGGCTACTGCAATAAGGAGCTCAAATATTGTTGTAGTTTAGCTTTGTCCTTCCTCAGGCAAAATTCCCATGCAACATGGGAGCCAATTTTGCTAACTGAATTTTGAAAATCTAGTATAGAAAAGTTCCCTATAGAAAGTTAAGCTTTAATTTTCTCTAACGTTGACTACCTAACTATCTGCTTTTGGGGAAGTTGAATAAACTGAACTGGAACTTGATTTCAGTAAGAATCCCAGGATTTGGTTCCTCTAATGTTGCTAGAGAGTCTGCTTTCAAATCTAGCCACACTGTTTCAAAAGTAATTTCAGAGGTACCATGCATATTGTCAGCATCAAACAAACTCTAATGAATAAACACTGGGGGGAGGGAGAAATTCTAGGATTCCTTTAAAAGAAACTTAACTGGAATGCACATCCTGTTCATACTGTCCTCTGAAATCTGTGCTCTGCTGTCTTCTGTTTATGCTTCCTGTGCCTGCTTCCTGGTTGCACATCTCTTGTGAAGAATTGTCAGCTGTAAATGACAACACAAACCTGCTCATAGAAACTTTCATTAAAACATTTTTTTTGTTATTTGTGCTTTTCATTGTTAATTAAACAGCGTGTTCTTACTCAATTATACACAGCGACTTTCAAAATAAACTTACACAAACTGTTTTCCAGACAGTGTTGTGTTTCTAATTTAGCGCCATAGAAATAGAGAACATGAATAAAATCAGAAACCAAAACTGGATCTTTAAATATACTGATTATCCAGGCATGTGGTCAGTTAGATATACCTCATGGAGGCATGACTTCATTTTAGAGCTCCAAACCTTTTTTGAACCATGTTAAATAAAAGGTCACAGGAAATATTTTCTGTACCTCCAAAGATCCATTTTCAGAAAAGATTTAGCAAAAGTTTAGTTTACTTTTAGTACATTAAAAATATCACAAACCTACATCACTGATGACTTTCAAACAGCTTTACAAAGCAAGAAGTCTACAACATGCCTGTTTCTCCTAACAACAAAACCAGTTATTGGAAGAATAAATAACAGCAGTCTGAATGTAAGAAGTAAGGTCACATTCAGGGTCTTTTCAACAGAACATTTGTTTTCCTTAGTAATGAATGTCATGACAGAGGTTTCTACAAGCCCCCACTCCCCTCCTGCTCTCACCCCCAAGAACTATGTGCCCCATTTGTGCCATCATCATTCCT